ATTTTGTATATTGACACTTCGTAATAGCTTTGTAAAATAATTAGGAAGCCCACCCTCTCAATGCCCCCAAAAAAGAATGGAAGTCACTGTAATCATCCTGGATATAAAAGTACCTGCCACTTCAAGGGGAAGAAGCAACTAGACTACACAGAGTTCGATCATGAACAAGCCTCATTTTGTCTTTCCCTCCTAAGTTTCCAGTTCCACTAGGCCTTTGATTCAATTTAGGAACAGAGATCACACAAGCAAAAAAGCAGAAAAGCTGGCAAAGGTAGAAGTTGATTACTGCTTAATATTGAATAGAAAATAAGGACTTGTTAAACAATACTTCTAAATGATTTTCAGAATTCTAATCCTCTCATTAAAATAACATTTTGCAGCATTCAAATGTGGTAAGTGGATTGTGTAAAACCCTGAGTTTACTCCTACTAGCTGTAAATATATGGAGAAAGAATCCATTTTTTCCTGCATAAGAAAAAGTGCTCATATGGAAGGGTCACTGTGGTGTCTGCTCAAAAAGCTTCTCTGCACTTTTTGTTAACAAGTAATGGTTGAGTTTTTAAAAATATTTTTTACATCTTCTGTCAAAAATTCATGTATGTGTCGCAGGCCTGATAAAAATCTTTAAATGTCAAAAAATAAAAAAATAAATAACATATCTATCTATTACTTAGGGGCCGGGCAAGGTGAAAGAGCATCTCCTCTGATCTTTGCCCAAAAATGTTCCTAAAATACTCCATATTATAATATAGTCCTTTATAATATATCCATGTTATAAATGTATAAATTTACTAATTTTCCTTAGGATAAAAAGACGGCTTAAATAATCATTAGCTTAGTTTTAACACCCAAAATAATTGTTGCTATGTAAATTCTAAGTTTTTTTCATAAAATAATTGAGAAGTTTAGAGGAGGCCAAAAATAATTTAAATGAATCCAAGTTTAATTTAAAAGTTACATCTAAAAGAAGAGATGAACAAAGCAGTGGTTGTAGACTCATTAATAAAAAGAAAAAGCTGGCGATTATAAAATTCATGCAATTACATTGGCAATTATAAAATTCATGCAATTACATTGATATGCTAATCTAAATTTTGAAAATAACACTTGCACGCATGTGGTAACAATATTTAACTAAAGGTATTATTAAGTTGCAAAGAAATACTATTAATTTATAAAGAAGGTAGTTTTTCTATTCGACTACTAAAGTCCCAAATCCAATAAAGCACATCAAAATTAACAAATAATTATGATTCATTTAATGTTTCATCTTTAGATTCTTCATAATCTTCTTTGGGAAACATCCATGGACAGGTTAATCCTAAATTTAAAAATGACAAAATTGAATTCTTTTTAATACAAAATATCATCATCAGTAGTCACTGAAAATTTTTAGCATTTCTAAGGCTATAATGCAAGAGCTAGACATTCCCTGTAGTTACTGTTTTAATGACTTTTACTTTCTCTTGTTGAACATAAAAAGTTTCCAACAGACTCAATGTGTAACTCATAATTTTCTTTTCCACTCCAACTCCTGCCAATACCCTTGGTGACTTCAACAGTCCCGTTTACAAGAAATGTGTCACAGAAACACTGTATCACAGGCCTTCACCTCCAGGCCACTTACTCACAAGCAAGGCCATGGCTTAGACATTGTCATCACTGGAACTTGTGCTTTACCTCTAGGTGCTGAAACTTTTCAAATGTTCCTAAATGACATATTTTTATGCTCCGACTTTTTATACCCCTATACTCTCACTAAATAAGGTCTCTGCCCTCCTTTGAACTCCCAATCCCTTGATCTCCCGCAAATTTCATTTGTCCCCCTCCTCAGCCCCACAATCATCTCTCTCATTACTCCTAAGTCCCTAGAATCCCTGACTCCGAAACTAAAAATTCCTCTTTATCCTCAGCATTGCCTGATACTCTGTACTCAGTCCTCTCCTCTCTCTCTTTCTTCACATTAAAGTCTTAATCTACATCTACTGTTAGAACTACATATGACCTTTATACACTATAGATATCACACTACCTCCCTTACAACAGTTCCAATTACTTGCTTAGCATTTTCACCTGGGTACCTCACTATTACCTAAAATTCAACATGCCAAAAGTAAAATTCAGTACCTTCATAAAATGAGTCCTTTCTCCTGACTTCTTATTTACTCTCAAAACTCAGTATCATCTTATCCCCATACCTGATCATTTGCCTTCTCTCTGCACCCTCTACAACCTTCATTTAAGCGCATTTTACTTTTCACGTGGATACTATTACAATCCTCAGATTTTCTTTTTCACCTATTTCAACTCCATTCCAAATCTTTCCACAAATGACATCATATTCCTTCTAAAATGCAAATCTGATAGCTCCACTGGTTTAAAATATTCTATATATTCATAAAGAACAAGATATTTGCATACTCTCTTATCTTTCTATGAAATACTTATTACAAAAGAAAAAATAGTAACTACAAATGGATAACAACGTAACCAAGACCTCAAAGTTAACATCATCAATCAGGGATCAGTGAAGATCAGGTAACTCAAGATGTGATCCTCTGGAAAGTTATATTATATATACAATGTTCCAGCCAAAAAATGCATAACATGAATCAAATCATGAGTAGTCATCAGAAAGCCTTGAGGAATCGTCTGAAAAATGGCTGGCCTGTATTCCTCTAAAATATCGATATCACAAAAGACAAAGAAAGGCTGACAAACTGCTACAGATTAAGGATATTGATGATCAATTTCCTGAATTTGATAACTATAGTGTGGTTATGCCAAACATACCCTTGCTCTTAAGTTATACACATTGAAGTATTTATACACACAGAGAGAATAAGAATGAGCAAACAAATATGGCAAGATGCTAAAAAACAGTGAATCTTGGTAAAGAGTTTACTGGAGTACTTTGTATTAGTCTAATAATCGTTCTGTACATTTGAAATCATTTAGAATAAAAGGTTAAGAAAGTGGTCCATTTCTTCTTTCCCTACTGAATGAAGTACAAATCCTCAGCCCAAAATTCATGTGAGACTCTTTGACATACTATCTCAATATACTTTTATATCTTTCTTAGGTTATCGTGTTAATCTTTATTCAAAGTAAACATTTCCTAATCGTTTTCTTGACTGCATAAATTTGTTCACTTTCATGTCTAAAATATACTCTCAGCTGGACACAGTGGCTCATGCCTGCAATTCCAACACTTTGGAAAGCTGAGGCAGTAGGATCACTTGAGGCCAGGAGTTTGAGACCAACATGGGCAACATAGCTAGACCGCCATCTATACAAAACAAAAATTTAATTAGCCAAGCATGGTGGTGTGCACTTGTAGTCCTATCTACTTAGGAAGGAATGCTGAAGTGGGAGGATCACTTGAGCCCAGGAGTTAGAAGCAGCAGTGAGCTATGATCGAGTCACTATACTCCAGCCTGGGTACAGAGTGAGACCATGTCTCTTTTAAAAAAACAAAAAGTAACTGTTAACTGTATGTAATTTCAGCAGTGGTGACAAAAAAAAAAAAAGTAATAGTAGAACAGCCTAAAGAAAATCAGAGGTACACAACCAAAAGTCAAAGGCAGGATGGAGATGAAAGGGTACTATACCCAAGAAGAGTAGTCGAAGCTCCAAAAATCTGTGAGTTATTCCAGAGTCAATATGTAAAGGGAGAATGGGACCAACAATTACTCCTAGGACAGCATTTGTTATTAGTTGGTAGCAAAGGTAAATATGGTAAGTGAGGCAGCATGAGGGCCATGACACAGTCTGCAGGACAGTAAGAAATAAAAAGCAGCAGTAGTAAGATAGTATTAAATATGACAGTATGTTCAAAGGAAAAGAGAACTAAGTAGAGGTATGAACAAAAAGAAGATTCTGCCCTCAGACTATACAATAGAAAAAAAAGAAAAAGAAGAAGGAAAAACATGGACCACAGAGAGAGAACTTCTAATAGCATGATGGAGATGGGGCCCAAATGAAGTTTTAAAGGTCAATAAGTATTTTAATGAGTGTCTATTGTGTGCCAGACATTGGATTTAAGAAAGGAAATAGGCCGGAACTACCAATGGTTATACAGTAATGTTTGGAGAAGGGAGGATATAGAAGGGAAGAGAAAAAAATCTATATAATTATTACGTAAATAGATTCTTAACAGAAGGTAAGAAGATTCACCTTGTGTAATTTGAGTCTGCAAACAACATAAAAAATAAGGAAAATTTAAGTTGTCCTCTAGCACTGGTTTTTCCCACTAATAAATACATATTAAGGAATAAATATTATAATACATTTTAGACATAATTATTAGCTTTATAAAGAAGTTCTGTAATCTAGTTTAACACTGTAATGCAAAATAATGAACTGTATAAGGATACCTCTGTTTACAAGAGGCTGTTTATGGAAAACACAGCATATTATTTTAAGTTGTTAAATAATCCTCACAAGATCACATTTAAGAGAAAGTCTCTTGCTGAGGCAGAAAAGAACCCAACAGATTCAAAGTTATGTGCTGATCTGAATAAGCACTCAGAAATATGTCCAGGTTTTTTGCACATTGCTCTGCCTATTCAAACATCCTTTTAATTTAAGCTACCTCTGACTACTTTTCTTTTTCCTATCAGCCCCCCACCTCATTCTCCTTAAATGGATAAGAAAAGTGAAACAAATTATCACGAATTTGCCATTATTGCAAACAATTCATGCTACCACTGATGCAACATCATATGAACCATAAGTTTCCACTGCTTGCAAAATGGCATTGTTTTCATGATTATCTTATGGAAATATTCTTCATGAAATTAAATACTGCAGGTTTACTGATATGAAATAGAAGTTGCCATAGAATGACTATATTAAGAACTCACAGAAACATCCATGATAGCATGCGTATCAGGACATGCATGTTAAGGAAAGATAAGTTTTGACTTTTTAATGCACATGGCATTACCAGTTACATAAATTTTATCCACCTTAACTTTTTGAAAATCCAGAACTACAAATTATTTTAATAAACATACTAGACTACATCTAATTTCGCTCTAACCACAATATCAACTCAATATTGATGCAGCTTTAGAACATAGGTTTAATTCATGAGCTATTTTCCAAGAATGAAATAATGACATCAAGCCCATAAATCAAGTGCAGATTTTGTAAAATGCATTAAGTGGGACTGTAGCCTCCATGGAAAGGAAATGACTACATGAAGTGACACAATGTGTAATTCCATATTGTAGTTAAAATGTTTTTCTTCATCAATACTGATGAGCTTTGTAATTTGTATTTTTTAATTGGCATTAAGATTCACATTTAACAGAAAAGTATGTTCCCTTTACTCAGTAAATTCCAGTCAACATGCACCTTCTACACTCCTCCACTGACTCCTATACCTGTGATCTCCTCTGCACTCACTGCTTGTAGGTGCTCTGTACTTCTAATATGATGAATAGTGACAATATGGTAGCCTCATTTATATAGTATATATTACATGTGACCATTAAGAAAACTGCTGATCTCATTCAATCCCAGGATAACTGAACTGTTACAGAGGCTACTTTCTTTAATACAATAAAAACTGTGTTAACTTACTTTCACTGGATAATCTTTGACATTTCAGCCTGTGTCTGTATTTTTCATTTTCTTCAAGCATTCTTGAAATGACTTTGTGTACTCTATTCCATACTAAAACCTTAAGAAGATAAGCACAGTAAAGGAATGCTGAGCAGAAAAGTAGGAATATATTTTCATAGAGGCAACCGGGGATGATTCAACTGCGTTGTATGTCAGTTGATATCATTATTATAATACTAGCATTTACAGAGCTAAAACAAGTGTAATTGTTTGCCCATGATCTGAATTATCTGTTCTTTTTTTCGAAATTCCTAGACTTCCTCCCTGTAGTATTTAAATTAACTGTCCTGGATGAAGTTTCCTTTCAAAGGCAATGTCTATAACATCCTACCTAATTGATTCTAACACATTCCATTCTGAAAGGTAATTTTTAAAAATTGTGAATTTATATTCCAATGATTAAACCATTGGGAAATGACTTGATTTTTAAATGTACTTTATTCCAGTTAATAATTAAGTATTTCTCCTAGCAATTGTACTAGAGAATATAAATATACTGGAATAGAAAGAACGAGGATTATGGAATCAAACAAATAGATCTAGGCTCAAATTCTGGCTTTGCCATTTTCCAGTTGCCTGACATTTTGAGAGTATTCTAATCACATCTAGGAATAACTTCATACATTGGATTATAAGAGTTAATGAAAAAATATTTAATACATATATAAAGCACTTACCCCAGTATCTGGCACATAGTAATTAAAAGTAAGTATTGCTCATTGCTCTTTTCTCCTCACCCAAAAGGAACTGGTTCTCAGAAGAAACATCTCTTAGTACAGTGGAAAAATTAGATGCTCGCTCAAAATACATTTGGTACAAGAGTTATTCACTTCTAATGCTATTTTATACCATACAGACATGAAACAAACTCAAAGCTCAGAAGCAATACAATGTTATGTGTCACTAACAACCAATAGTTTCTTTTAACTGAATATAAACTATGCTGTGAAGTACAAACATACAGTGGCAATCAAAGATTTGCAGAGCATATGATCTTGAATATGTTCAAGACACTCAAGTTGCCATGACATTTGGACAACTAGCAGTGAGAACAGTTCAGCAGCAGTGGTTCATCCTTCTCAGATTGCCTGCTAGAAATATATTACATATTCCTTGTCTTTAAAAAGACCAATATAAATACATTATTCTTTTCTATGAAATCTGTGATTTTCTTCTTATACTACATTATATATCCCAGTTTATTATATTCTATGGAACATATATCATGCTTTGAAAAATCATCCAGTGCGGTTACATTTTGATTAAAATGTGTTTTATACCTTCAAACACTGAAAGAACAATTCTTTATGGTTAATAAATATCTCCAAACCCAGTTCCATTTCTGCTGAATTACTTCTATTTTCTCATTTCAGAAAATTAAATTATTCAAAAGATGAAACTATTTTCACTGTCTTGAATATCTTTATACATTTGTATTTAGAGAGGATGATCTAAAATTCAAATATTGCTCATTCTCTTTTACAGTACTATACCTTTTTCTTTTTCTTCATTATTTTGGACTCTTCATTCAATGGTAGGGGAAAATCAAACTTTCTGGTTGCATCCTTCTGGATTAAACCTAATTTTTAAGAAGAAAGTGAAAGGGTCAACATATATAAGAATTTAGTATCTGAAAATGAGACCATGTAAATATTTTTTGAGGTCTCTTTGGGAATTTTTACACTTGTTGTTATATTTCTAATCACCAGGTAATACTGGTTTACCAATTCACTAGTAACATGTGGAAAACAACCAAAAAAAAACTAGACATAATCTGTTAAGTACCTAGAAAATCATCCAGCTAGTTCAGTCTTCCATTTCTGATTTGTCAGGTTAGTCCCAAAAAGACCAACAACAGAATGAACAAATACCAGATAATACATCTTGCTCCAGTCTATCTCTACAGGCTTCATTCTTCTAAGTGCAACTCCAGGCAGACATTACACTTCCAACTACACAAACCTCGTGGTTCCTCAAATGTGTCTAATTCCTAACCCTTTCAGCACACGCACACACACATACACACACACACACACACACACACACACACACTGACACACCTCCCAGGCAAATTTCTTCCACTCATTTTGCGTATTGTGCTGAGACTAGCTCCAGTGTATTTCATGGATTTCGTTCCTGACTTATGTTTCAGATCTTTCTCCCAGTCCTCTTTCCACCCACTCTGACCCAGTCGTTCTTCCTAATCGCTACATCACTGATCCATACTCAGTGCTTTGCTCACATGTTTTCTCCACCTAATTTTCCTATGTCAGCCCCATGTGTAAATCCCATGGAGTTCCCACCATAATAAAGCCTTCCCTGATTCTCTCATTCCCCAAATTATGCACCACTTCCAAAGCATTCATTTGTACTTCCACAATAGCATTCACCATCTTCCATTATATATAAATTATAAATGTTTCTTTCAAGTTCTGGAAGGACAGGGAGCTGGCCTGATTTATTAGTCTTATTTGAAATGTTAGAAAAGTTGCTGATCTGCCTACTCCTGAATCTCTAAACTTCAGTACATTTTCCAAACAGCTTATAAGTTTATCTTCCAGAAGTGCATCTGTCTCCAAAAACTTTTTCCACTATTCAAAACTCTTCAGTGACTATAAAAAATGAGTCTCCAAGGTATTCCATAATCTGGTCCAAAACTTATTTTTCATTCAATAAATAGTACATGTTCACTGTGTGCTAGACATGCTAATCACCATCTTCCCTTCAAGCCATCTCTGCTCAATATGCCAACATTTACTAGGCACTCATTCTGTGTCAAACACCGTGCTAGGCACTCCACACATATTACTTCATTTAATCTTTGCAGCAACCTTTAAGTTAGAAGCCATTACCCCCATGTTACAAATAAGAACACTGAGAATAATAGTGATTAACTAACTTGGTCAATATTATCCTGCTGATAAATGACAAAACTAAGGATTATGTCTTTCTGACTTCAAAGCCAATGCTCTTGATAACCCCCATTGTCCCACTAGTGATTTCTCTATACATGTCCCCCGATTTCCTGCATCTATGCCTCTTCTTTCCTTGAACTTGACTATCAAGGCCATTCTCAGCTCATTCTTACAACACTCATGTCTACCAGTTTATATTTCCATTATTCATGAATAAATCCCTTGAGAGCAAAATACTTGTCTGATTCATCTGTGTCATGAACACCTGATCTAGTGACCACAACATGATAGGTGTTAAGTAAATATTACTGAATGAATAACTCATCTTTTTACCCAAGGAGGGTGACACATTTAATGAATGTCTACTTAACATTAAGGGCTGGGTATGGTGGTTCACACCTGTAATCCTAGCACTTTGGGAGGCCAAGGTGGGTGGATCACCCAAGGTCAGGAGTTCAAGACCAGCCTGCCCAACATGGTGAAATCCTGTCTCTACTAAAAATACAAAATTAGCTGAGCATGGTGGCACATGCCTGTGGTCCCAGCTACTTCGGAGGCTGAGGCAGGAGAATCACTTGAACCTGGGAGGCAGAGGCTGCAGTCAGCCAAGATCACACCACTGCACTCCAACCTGTGAGACAGTGCAAGACGCTGTCTCAAAATAAAAACAGAAACAGACATTAAGTACACCCCAACACTGAGTAAAACCTAAGCACTTAAGCGCTTCTGGCTTGGTTTAAATATAAGTCTACCCCAGGACCCCCTTCCTTTGACTATATTCTTGGCTTCACAGGCACAGCAGGGTGGTCACTGACATTAGTGGCTCCATTATCCATCCAGTTGCCCAGTACAGAGACTTCAGACTTGGCCGCAATTCTCTCTTTCAGTAAGCCATGCGATCTTGTCCATTCTGCCTCCACTGCCGGTGCCTTAGTTCAGGCCTTCACTCTTTCCACTGGACTACTGTAACTGCCTCATTAACTGTTTTCTGGCCTCCAATCTCTCCCACCCTCAATTCCTTTGTGGCACGGGTAACACGATCAGATCCAGAGGAAGGAGAACTAGGAGGTGGGAGTGGTTGGACCGAGAAGAAGCTCCAAAGCACTTCCCAAAACCAAACATACACCAAAAAAAGATCATGGTCAGTGTTTGGTGGTCTGCTGCCAATCTAATCCACTATAGCTTTCTGAATCCCAGAGAAACCCCTACATCTGAGAAGTATGCTCAGCAAATCAACGAGATGCACTGAAAACTGCAATGCCTGCAGCCGGCACTGGTCAACAGAAAGGGCCCAATTCTCCACAGCAACTTACCACATGTTGCACAACCAACGCTTCAAAAGTTGAACAAATTGGAGTACGAAGTTTTGCTTCATCCACCATATTCACCTGACCTCTCACCAACCAACTACCACTTCTTCAAGCATCTCAACAACTTTTTGCAGGTAGAATACTTCCACATCCAGCAGGATGCAGAAAATGGTTTCCAGGTATTCCTCAAATCCCAAAGCCGGAATTTTTATGCTACAGGAATAAAGAAACTTATTTCTTGTTGGCAAAAATGTGTTGATTTTAATGGTTCCTATTTTGATCAATAAAGATGTGTCTGCGCTTAGTTATAACGACTTATAACTCAAGGTCCAAAACCTCAATTACTTTTGCACCAACCTAATAAATTATCAAAGTATATTTAGTTCTGAAAGAATAGCAAACAAAATATATATTTTTCATCTTGAGATTTTTTTTTCTGTCTAACCTGCCTCTAAGTCAATCTCCCCTGTACATCACGGACTAACTAAATCTGACCCTATCACTTTTTTAATTCAAAATCTTTTAATGCAGAGCTTCTGGGTAGCTGAAGACAATAGCAAGCAGGTAGCAATAACTTCCCCCCAAAAAGACCCACACCCTCAACATTACTTTAAGGCAAAGGATGCTGAAGCTGCAAAATAACTATAAGTAAAATGAGAAAAAAAAAAACATTAAATTGCAGCTCTATGAGGCCATATGCCCCAGACCTACAGGAGCTCTGGCCAGCAGGGAAGAGAAAATAGAAACACTAGAAAAAATGCCTCAAGAGAGCTGGAGTGACCAACATTAAGATTAAATTCATTCTACATCTGAAGATACTAAAAAAATAACTAGGCAGATCAGAGTACAGACTATAGGGAAGAAATTTAAAGAGACAGACACAACACAAAATGCCAAGCATGCAATATAATGGAGACTCAGCTTAAAGTGGCAAGCATGATTTAAAGGAGCAGTCTTCCAATGGCATGGTTTCTGAGGTGAAAAGAACAAAAAGGATGATAAATAGGTCACAAGAAAACACTAGTAACATCCATAAAATGAAGACATCACAAACAATGCTCTCTGATCACAATGTAATAAACCTGAGTTTACTAGCAAAAAAATAAAAATAAAAAACAGAGAAGCTCTGAAAACTTAAAAATATAAACTCTATTAAGCAACTCTATGGAAAAGAGTTAAAAATTACATAATTTCTTTTAAAAGTAGTGACAATGAAAACACTACATATTGGAATCTATAGGATGTAATTAAAGTAGTGGTTAGAAGAAAATGCATTGCACTAAACACTTAATAACAAGAATAAAAATAAATGAATTAAATTTCCTGCTCACAAAAAAAGTATAAGAACAACAAAGTAAATCAAAAGAAAGCATAAGAAATAATAATATTAAAAGCAGAAATTAAGGAGGAAGAGACTAGAGAAACAAAATATCTAATTCATGAATCAAAACCTTGATTTTTCTTTTTTAGAGACAGTGGTCTCACTCTGTCTCTCCAGGCTGAAGGGCATTTCATAGCTCACTACAGCCTTGAACTGCTCACCTTAGCCTCCCAAAGTGGTAAACTTACAGGTATGAGTCTCTGTACCTGGCAAAAATCTTAGTTTTTTTAAAAGAAATTAACAAAATAGAAAAAATGTTGGCTAACTTGATCAAGAAAAAGAGAGAATGCACATATATACAGCAAAAGAAATAAGAAGAGGGAAATAACCATTAAAACGCAAGAAAATGTTTAAACATCATAAGACACTATTTTGCAAATATCTATGTAAACAAATTTGAAAACCCAGATGAAATGGATAAGTGCTTAAGGAAATACAGATTACCAAAATTGACCTATTAGAGTTAGGAAGCTTACACAGGTCAATCTCTATAGAAAATATAGAGAAGGTTATTAAGGAATTATTACCGCACAAAAAACACTAGGTCCTAACAGTGTTACAGAAAAATTCTACCTAAGACAAGATAATCCCAACATTCTATAAATTATTCCAGAGCATAGAAAAGGAAAAATTCCCAATTCCTTTTATGAAGTAAATACAACTCTTGATACCTAAACCAGAAAAAAAATACAAAGAAAAACTAAAGATCACTATCTCTCCTGAATACTGATACAAAAATTATAAACAAATTATTAGCAGAGTCTAATACTGTATTAGGAAAATAACACACCAAATCCAAGTAGAATTTACTTCAGGAATGCAAGGTTGCTACAAAATTGGAAAACCATTTATATCACATTCCATATTAATAAATAAATCTAAAGAAAAAGAGTATCTCCCTAGATCTAAGAAACCCTCTGCCAAAAATCAACACTCATTCATGATTAAAAAAACAAACACTGGAAAAATAAGTATTGAGGGATACTTTGTAATATTTGAAATACATAATCCTTATTCATATAGCCAGCACCTTATTTAACGGGGAAACACTAAAGGCGTTTCCCCTGTGGTCAGGAACAAGCCTAAGGCGCCCGCTATCTCTAACACTATTCAACATTGCCTTTGAGGTATTAGCAAATGCAATTAGATAAAATAAACCTATTGCAGGCAAAGAATGGGTGACAAAAGAAACAAAATCATATATCTTTACAAATAACATATATTGATAGCGGAAAAATCATGAGAATCAAGGATAAAGCTAATAATAAAAGTATCCAGTGAGTTAACAGGCTCTAAAATTAGCATGCAAAAACCAATACGCTAAGTGAAAGAAGCCAGTCACAAAAGCCCACATACTCTATGATTCAACATATATGAAATGCCCAAAATGGTAAAATCGATGGAAACAGAAAACAGATTAGTACTTGGTTAGGGCTGGGCTTATGCATTAAGGAGGGCAAATAGGGAGAACGATGAGTGATGTTTAATGGATACAGGGGTTTCCCTTGGGGCTAAAAACACTCTAAAATAGTGGTGATGGTTGCACAACCGTGAATATGTGAACTATGTATGTAAAATGGGTGAACTGTAAGCACTGTGAGCTACAGTTCAATAAAGCTGCTATTTTATAAGTACAGATGATGGAAATGTTCTATATCTTGATTATGATGGCACTTACCAGAGTGTGTATAAGTCTGTCAAACCTCTTCAAAACATATGTAAATTAATCCTCAATAAAGTGGATTTAAAAAAAAAAAAAAAAAAAACAAGAGAGAGCCGGGCACGGTGGCTTACGCCTGTAATCCCAGCACTTTGGGAGGCTGAGGAGAGTGGATCACCTGAGGTCAAGAGTTCGAGACCAGCCTGACCAACATGGTGAAAGACCATCTCTACTAAAAATAGGAAAAAAAATAGCTGGAGGTAGTGGCAGGGTACTGTAATCCCAGCTACTTGGGAGACTGAGGCAGGAGAATCGCTTGAACCTGAGGAAGGGGGGAGGAGGGAGGAGACAGAAGGGAGAAGGGAGAAGGGTGAAGGACGGAGGGAGGAGGGAGGAGGAAGGAGGGAGGGGACACAGAGGTTGCAGTGAGTCGAGATTGCGTCATTGCACTCCAGCCTGGGCAAAAGAGCGAGACTCCACAACAAAAAAAAAAAGAGGCCGGGCACGGTGGCTCACAATCCCAGTACTCTGGAAAGCCAAGGCAGGTGGATCACCTGAGGTTGGGAGTTCGAGACCAGCCTGACCAACATGGAGAAACTCCGTCTCTACTAAAAATACAAAATTAGGGCATGGTGGCACATGCTTGTAATCCCAACTACTCGGGAGGCTGAGGCAGGAGAATCACTCGAACCCAGGAGGCAGAGGTTGCAGTGAGCCGAGATCATGCGATTGCACTCCAGCCTAGGCAACAAGAGTGAAACTCCATCTCAAAAAAAAAAAAAAAAAAAAAAAGAAAAGAAAAATGAAGAGAGGCTGGCACAGTGGCTCATACATGGAATCCCAGGACTCTGGGAGGCCGAGGTAGGATTGCTTGAGCCCAAGAGTTTGAGACCAGCCTGGGCAACATAGGGAGACCCCATGTCTACAAAAGATAAAAAAGTAGCTGGGCATGGGGGTGCCCACCTGTGGTCCCAGCTACTCGGGAGGCTGAGGTAGAGGCTGCAGTGAGCCTGTGATTGGACCACCACACACCAGCTTGGGTGACACAGCAAGACCCCGCCTCAAAATAAATAAATAAATAAATTGACTCCTGTACACAATAAGCATTTAAAGGGCATTACATACAAAGAAATCCCATTTACAACAGCAAGGATTAAATATTTAGACATAAATTGATCAAGACATATGCAAAACCTAAGGGAGGATAATTTTTAAATTTAAGATATTTCCTGATTTAAACGTAAAGCTCATCCCTTTTTTAGCCAGGAAGACTCAAAAGCACCCAGAAGTCAGTCCTCTAGATCAGAGGCTTTGCGAAGTCAACCAATGTCACTCAGCTGGAACGGCAACACTGCAGACCAAAAGCCTCCCTACGGGTGCAGTAAAGGCTCCGTTCAGCAACCCCTCCTCTTATGTCAGGTGCCTGTCCCGGCCACTGCAGCCTGGGAATTACAAGGCATCCCCTTCGCCCCGTGGTACTGGCAACATCGCCTGACAGGAAAGCCGCCCCCACCCTCCCGCGCGCCACAAGATGGCGCCCAGCAGTGGCGCACGCTTGCCCCGCCAAGACACCTGCACGCGCCACAGGCCTGGTGCTGCTCCGCCCGCTCGATGTCCGCAGCTGGGAGGAGGAGGAAGTGGCAGAGGCCGCAACCGCCACACCAGGGGCCGCGGGGACCCTGGGCCTGGAACCTGAGGGCAGCTCGCCGCCACCTGGGACGCCAGGCACCGCTGTTGCTTCTGTTGGCTTCTCCTGGAGACGACCAGCCCCGGACTCCCGACCCCAAAGGCCTCGGGTTCGGCGGCCACCCAGCTGCAGGACACCACCACACTGGTGTGGGCCGAAGCGCGTCACGTAGACGAAGCGCACACAGTCCTGCTCCCGACCCTGGCTTGCCGCTGCCGCCATCGCAGTCTCAGTCGACCGCTGCCAGGCCTTCAGCAGACACTATGCGCCACGCGCTGAGCGGCCCACTGCGCAGGTGAGAGGCGGGGATGGGGGGAGGAGGTTAGGGCCAGACCACCCCACAGGGATGGGGGGGATGGGTTCAGGGCGGGACCATCCCGAAGGGATGGGGAGGCAGGGTTAGGGCTGGACCACCCCGCAGAGATGGGGAGGCAGGGTTAGGGCTGGACCACCCTGCAGAGATGGGGTGAGAGGATTAGGGCCGGACCACCACGCGTGGTGGGACAGGGAGGTTAGGGTGGTCCACTGTCTGGGGGCTAGAGGAAGAAAGCTGGGCGTGAGGGGCGAGGGAGCTGGTCACTCTGTGGGCTGCAGGAGTCAGGGAAGGGCACACTCCTGGGAGGTGAGAGGCCCGGGGAGATGGAGGGAAGTAGGAGGAAGGCAGGTGGTGGGTTGGGGACGATGATGAGGTGCAAACCCCTCAGAGGAAATGAGCTACTCCAAGAAGAGTGTGGGAGAAAGGGACGAGGTCACTGCCAGGGAGACGCCCCCATGCTTGGGTGCAGGAGGTTTTCAGAGTGAGGAACCCACACAGGACTTGAGCAGCCTGGAGCATCAGCCACGTGGCATTAGGAGCCTGGGGAAGAACACAGAGCCCTCGGCTGTTGGAAGGTTCCAACATGGCCTTGGCCTGGCAGATGGTGGGGATGGAGCCATCATTCACAAAGAGACACAGGGGTCTGAGGCCCAACCTGATTTGGCACTGGCCCGCTGGGTTATTTGGCAAGCCCTTTTCTTTTCTTTTTTTTTTTTTTTCGAGACGGAGTCTTGCTCTGTCTCCCAGGCTGGAGTGCAATGATGCAATCTCGCCTCAGTGCAACCCCCACAACCCGGGTTCAAGCTATTACCCTGCCTCAGCCTCCCAAGTAGCTGGGATTACAAGGATGAACCACTATGCCCGGTTTTTTTTTTTTTTTTTTTTTTTTTTATATGTAGAGAAAGGGTTTCACCATGTTGTCCAGGCTGGTCTCAAACTCCTAACCTCAGGTGATCTGCCCCGCTTGGCCTCCCAAAGTGCTGGGATTACAGGCATGAGCCACTGTGCTCAGCCATTTTCCTTCTCTGAGCCTCCAGTGTCTTCAAGTGTAAACTTAGGAGAATTGTAGTGTGAAGATAAATCAAAGGAAGGCATATATTCAGCGTCTGGCACACTGTGAGAGACAGTTGTCCATTCAGGACACAACCTATGAGATACACATTGTAATTTATTTACATCATTTAAACTTTATAAATAGCTTTCCCTCTAACCCTTTTTTTTTTTCCCTTCGTCAGAGTCTTGCTCTGTCACCAGGGCTGGAGTATAGTGATGTAATCTCAGCGCACTGCAACCTCTGCCTCCCAGATTTAAGCAATTCACCTGCCTCAGTCTCCCAAGTAGCTGAGGCTCCAGGCGCACACCACCACATCCAGCTAATTTTTGTATTTTTAGTAGAGATGAGGTTTTGCCATGTTGGTCAGGCTGGTCTTGAACTCCCGGGCTCAAGCAATCTGCCAACTGTGGCCTCCCAAAGTGCTGAGATTAGAGGCGTGAGCCACCACACCCAACCTTACCATCTCTTTAAATTCACACAGCATTTTATGGCAGAAGAACTGGGGCTGCAAAATGTGAAATTACTTCCCCAAAGTAATAGGCAGTGAGAGAGACATACTTTCTTAAACCTTTGTTATTGAATTATATGCAGAAAGCTGCACAAATCATCAGTATAAAGACAGCTGAATTTTTACACAGTGAATATGCTCGTGTAAGATCCACCAAGGTTAAGAAATGGTGCACTACAGAAGCACCTCATGTCCTCACCCACTCACCATCCTTTTTTTTTTTTTTTTCATTTCAGACATCAATGGCTGGGTGCCTGTAATACTAGCACTTTGGGAGGCCAAGGAGGGAGGATCACTTTAGCTATGAAGATCAAGGCTGCAGTGAGCCCTGATGACAGCACTGCACTCTCCCTAGACAACAGAGCAACATCCTTTCTAAAAAAAAAGTCATCAGTTAGGTTTGTCCATTTAATTTACTTGTTTCACTCAAGTTGCATCAGTGAGGTACATGTTATTGTGAAACCAAGAGCTAATCTGAGTAAGCCCGCCAAACTTAACCTGCCTTGCTTGCTTTTCATTGCTTACTTGTGGTGGTTCTTAAAACTAATGCTATCTATGACCTGAGTACATGGATGAGATGGAAAAAAAAATCCCACTAGCAAGTCATGTAGCCAAAAAATACATAACTAAACTCCCACAGGCTTCCTTACAGATAACATCCCTGGATGTTGCTCACTATAGTAACAGGTGCTTAAAGATGGTTTTTCAGAAACTAGAGGACAGCTCTTGGTCTGTTCCAGCTGGTTGAGACCACCAACCCTTCAACTGGGCCTGCATGGATGCCACCAGAATGACCTTTTGAAGTCAGAGGGCCATAAAGCTAACCCTCAGATCGTGCCAATGCAGCCTTTTTCTGCACGCGTATGAAGAGTAATGTAGCTTAATTACACTTGTGTAGAAACCTGAATTACCTCACCTTTCCTCCCTACCAATTATCTTTCCACATTTTAAACCACCCTGCTTTCTATTCCTGAAATACTCTCAAGCCCTGTATTTGAAGAGATGAATTTCAAGTTTGTTCTCCCATCTTCTCACACAGCAGCCTTGTGAATAAAATATATTCTCCCTTGCAAAACCCCTCACCTCAGTGATTGGCGTGCTGCCTGAGGGCAGAATGAACTTGGTTAGTTTACAGCTCTAGAAGTTTGCATATCATTTGAATGTGTCACCATTTTTTTTATCTTTGCCACTTATTGATGGACATTTGGGTGTTTCCAATTTGGTTCATTATTAGTGTTTCTAAGCAGATTCTCATACATACTCTTTGTGGAAATAGGTTATGGGTTATATATGTTAGTGTGGAGATGCTTAGGGTGTTCATATGTTCAGCTTTAGTTGCTGCTGACAAACAAGTATCCAAAATGGTTGTAGCAATTTACACTCCTCCAGCCAAGTATAAGGGTTCCCCTTGCTCCACTTGTTCACCTCTACTTGGCATTGTCTTCATGTTAGCTATTCTCATGGATATGTATATTAGAGTTTTCCAGAGAAGCAGAAACAAAAGACCGCGTGTGAGAGACAGAAACTGCATGGTACACCAGCAAGCTAAGAGATCTAGGAAAGAGTTGTTGATGCTGCAGTTCCAGTCTAAAGGTCCTCTGCTGGCTGAATTTCCCCCTCTTCAAGTGAGCCCCGTCTTTTTCTTCCAAGCTGATATGGTTTAGCTGTGTTCCCACCCAATCTCATCTTGAATTGTAGTTCCCCTAATCCCCATGTGTTGTGGGAGGGATCCAGTGGGAAGTGATTGAATTATGGGGGCTGTTATCCCTGTGCTGCTGTTCTCATGATAGTGAGTGAGTTATCACAAGATCTGATGGTTTTGTCAGGAGCTTTTTCCCCTGTTGCTCAGCACTTCTCCTTGCTGCTGCCACGTGAAGAAGGACATGTTTGCTTCTGCTTTCACCATGATTGTAAGTTTCCTGAGGCTTCTGCAGTCATGCCAAACTGGTAGTCAATTAAGCCTCTTTCCTTTATAAATTACCCAGTCCTGGGTATGTCTTTATGAGCAATTTGAGAATGGACTAATACTCAGTCCTTCAAATGATTGCATGAGGCTCACACATATTATGGACTGCTTTACTCCAAATCTACCAGCTTAAATGTTAATCTCGCTAAGAAAAAAGAAATACCTCACAGAAACACCCATCACTGTCTCATTAGGGTTGGTAACTGGCACTTTGCTTTGTCTGTTTTAGGAGGTCATGGTTCCCTGTTTGCTATTGTTACTTGTGGATGTGCATCCATGTCTTTGCGTGAAAGGTTCTATTTTCCAGTTTTCACATCCAGCTTGTTTTTGTCTTTCTAGGGTATGTTTGCTTAGACATTCTTTGCAGTCCACCTGTTGAATCCCTTTTCCACTAGTACACTGCCTCCTTTTCCATACTAGATGGCCCCTTAAGCCCAGGTTCACCTCACTTTTCCAAACAGTAGTGCTGCCAAAACTGGATGGAGGGTAGTGGGGTCCCAAATAAAACACCCCAGCCATGTGGGAAGGCTGGTAGGGGGTCGTGCCCAGGGACCCGTGGAGCATGCCTCCCATAGCAAGTTGCTGCTGAAAAGCCACTGAGCTGCCATCCTCCCCCTTCTTGGTCTCAAGCTGCCCTTGGGGGTTTTTCTCCCTTCAAGCACTCATGAAACTTCTGTGGATTGATGCAGGAACCCAGGATAATGTGAAAGCTGGCATCCACCTCACTGTCAATAGTGGAGCAAAAGTTCATGATGTGAGTCTCCACATGCTGTTCTGTTCATCTGAGTGGGAGCTGCAAGTTAGTCCTGCCTTCTATATGCCATTTTCCCCCAGTAGGTCTTTTTCTATGTGTCCCATTAATAATATTGACAATAACTCTGATCAACATATTCTACAAAATTTTCTGAAGAAATTCTGAATGAGAAAACAGCAAAATGATTCTAAGAGCAATTTTCTGTGTGGTGACTGGTAGCTTGGGGCATGGCCACCAAGGATAAAGAAGTCCATTTCTCTCACCTTCCAGATAGAGGTTTTATTACTTCTCTTTGGCCTTCAGGATGATTTCTGCTTCCTATTTGAGTTCTAGGATGTTGCTGGTGATAATCTTTGCACTGATACTGGTTTTAGTTTTCTGTGGGAGAGAGGAAAGCCAGATTGCTTCTATTCTGCCATTCTGGTGACTTGACTCTCAACTTTTCTTCCTCCTTATGTTTTATGTAACCACATATAGAGTTTTTGGTAATTTTGTAGTGTATTCAAAGCATCATGACACATCAATATTACTGTTATTTTACACAGTCAGACTTCATTTAGGTTTACTGATACATTTACTCTTCCCATTGCGTTTCATTTGTTCTTTGTTTATTTCATTCATTTTAAACTGTATTTTTATGCATATTTTTGCTGGGTATTGAATTCGTGTTGCCAACTATTTTCTTTCAGCCCTTTGAAGATATTCTGTTCCCTTCTTTTTCTGGTATTGCTTTTGAGAAGTCAGCTGTTAGTCATATTACTTCCCTTTTCAAAGTAATGTGGCTTTTTTCCCTCTTCACGTTTTGT